ATGGGTCAGAAGAACTCTGCAAGCTAGGGGGTGAAAAGAGCTCCTTGATCTTTATAAATGAAAGGTGCTAATAAATGGTTTTCTGTCAGTGTTGATTAAAACTGACACATTTATCGCAGAATTGAGAGAGGCTAAAAGTAGTTGTATAGTCAGTTACCGCAGCTGAGCTGATAGACAGTAGTTCATTCAATGATGGCAACTCAATCACGTGTATTTGAGTGACCATATCCTCAGTATCAGCAAAGACAACAGTGGTTAAGTATATGTAGACTGTAAACTGTTTTCACCTGTAAAAATAGCATTTCTGCAGATGTGCAAGATATAATGAAGTTACTCTTTGCTAAAATGAATATTCTGTGACTAGAAAAAAATATTTTAGAATTTTGATCTGACATATTTCATGAATATTAATGAAAATGCGAAAGTTAATTTAGTTCCTTCATACTAAAGTCAGTCAGGATGAGGGCAGCTGAGGATAAACCTGAAGAAGAAAACTTATCATTTTAATTAGTGTTTTCCGTAGCTTTCTTTTATTGTGACAATCTTGACATAAACTTGACACCTTTTAAATGTTGATTGTCTAGTGTGAATGTATTGCCTGGTTACAACACTTCCATAATAGCAGTTCTGCTGCTGTTTTTGTGGTAAATATTTCAGAACCACTCCCATCTCTTACCTGCAATTGCTGCCCCTACCCACATACCTAGTTTAAAGTATCTTTAAGAGCTGGCATATGCTACCTCATAAATTGGCTTGTTAATAGAATAAGAGTACTGCAGACTCTACCTTCTCCAGAGACCGGCAAATAATTTCTGCAATATTCTCAGTTTCCAGTGACCTATTTTTGAAAATACTCTATAATTCCAAAACAAAAAGCACTCACATATGCACTAATGTAGGCAAAATGTCTCTCTTACTAGAGTGCAATTATGCAAGCAGGGACTATTTGCCATGTTGCTGGAGACTAGAGAATTAACGTGCTGTTCTTGGCATGTTGTTCTCCATATGTTTCAAACCTTTTTCATGGCAGGGAAATGCGCTACTTTTGTGTAAAAAGGCCAGTGTTAATTTTCCACCTTAATTCCTCATGCTTAATAGGGAAATAACAGCTTTTATACTATCTACTCATTCTGTACTCCATATACTGTAAGTTTGTAGAAAATATGATGTATTTTTGTGAAAGCAATGACGGGGTTTCTATGTTAAATAAAAAAAGGTGAAATAAATTTTAGCAATGGAGTTATGACTAGTCCTTCATTATTATGTATATCATACTATATACTGCTTATAGAGTGCTGTTGTGGCAAAAATCTAAGCGAGAAGTATTCTTTACGACCTGGATGCCATGCTGCTTTTTTTTTGCGTCTCTAAGATGTCATACCTGCCATCTTTGTTTCTTAAGTATAGCAAATATTGACAAGATTCAAAAAAAGAATGGTTAAGAAAAGAATGTGCTTTGGAGGCAATGTTTTAGATCATGGAGAAGGGGACCAAAAGGAAGTTAGGTAAGCTCTAGTTGTGAACTTTGTTCAATGATTTCTTTCACAGTAAATCCACCGTGAATACTCTTTCTTCCAAAGGTGTAGGTAGGCTGCAGTTGGCTAGAGGACATGTAGCAGAGTAGCATTTTGATGAAGAATTAGTTAGGAACAGAGTTGGCCAACCTTAAATGCTCAGATTCTATTAACTTTATCTTACATCTAACTCTGATTAAACTCTTCAGTGCTGAAGGTGGTTTAGATAGTCTGCTCTGCTTTTCTGCAAGCTGGTGAGAGAACTTGACCACTGGTGAAAGAATTGTGCCATGTGCACTTTCTCATTTACAACTTTCAGCCTTATGTCTGTTCTTTTTTTTTTTTTCCCAACCTTTACAATATCTGTCCTTCAGCTTAAGTTTCTTCTTTTCCACTGAGCATTTAATAACATCCGTATGTCCTTCCTAGAGCAAGGCTTATCATGAAAGACATACATACATGCACAGGCATTTGGGTAATTATAAAAATAGTCAGGAGAAGTTAACTGAAATGCAAGATATTAAGGAATAAACTGTACAAAAGATGGAAGAGGGAAGTGGATGTTTAATATTAGATTTGATTAGTAAAGTAAAGGAGGAAAGGTAGCAAGGGAAAAGATGGGTGTCGTAATTCTTAATTTCCTTGAAGGAACCGGTGAAAGCTGTTCCTCAGTAATTAATAGCAGCCATATAAATATAAGGAACAACTCATTTTGCCAAGGAGTTGATGGCATTGTGGGAAAAGAGATAGATTTGTGTTGCTGTCATAGGGAAATAGGAATTGAAGGGATCTCAGTAGGATCTGTTGCCCTCCTCCGAAGCTATGCCTATATAATGTCTATTTCATTTTTATCAACCTTCAAAAATCCTCCAGTGTTGGTGACTCTGCTATCCCTGAAGGTTGTGTATTTCAGAGCTTCACTATTCTTATTGTCTACATGTTTTTTTCTAGTATGTACCCTTGCTATAATCTTCTTGCGAAGTTAAACCTGTTGCTACATGTTGTATTGATCACAGAATCATAAGAAAGTTCAGGGTGGAAGGGATCTCAGGAGGTGTCTAGTCAAACCTCCTGCTCAAAGTAGGGTCAGCTGTGGGATGGGACTAGGTTGCTCAAGGCTTTATCCAGTTCCTTCTTGTAAACCTCTAAGGATGGAGACTGAGCAACCTCTTTGGGTAAACTGTTCCACTGCTTGATTCTCCTCATGGTGAAAAAGCTTTTCCTTATATATAGTTTGAATTTCTCATTTCAACTTATGCCCATTGTGTTTCATCCTCCTGCCATGCACTACTGTGAAGAGCCTGGCTCCATTTCCTTCATAGCTTCCTCATGGGTATGGGAAAGCTGCCTTTAGGTCCTCCCAGGACCACCTCCTCTCCATGCTGAAGAATTCTAGTTCCCTTAGCTTTTTCTCATAGGACAAATGCTCCAGCCTCTGATCATCTTGGTGGCCCTCTGCTGAATTTACTCCAGTTTATTGATATCTTGAGGGGCCTAAAACTGGATGTATTACTTTAGATATGATCTAACAAGTGCTGAGTAGAATGGTATAGATCCCTTGGTCTATTGGCTGTGCTTCTGCTAATACAGTCCAGGATCACATTGACCATCCTTGCTGCCAGGGAACATTGCTGGCTCATATTTGGCTTGCTGTCTACCAAAACCTGCAGGTCATTTTCAGTTGGGCCCCAGTCAGTCAGTCCCCCCAGCCTGCATTGTTTAAACTTGCGCAGCTGCAGGGCTTTGCATTTGTCCTTGTTGAATGTTGAAAGGTTCCTGTTCACCGGTTCCCTGAGTGTGTCGACATACCTCAGAATGGTAGCCCTGCCCTCAGGCATATTGGCTGGTCATCCCAATTTAGTGTCACCTGCAAATTATGTATAAGAGCATCTAAAAAGAGAACTCCTGTTATCTTCTCTTGAAACTTTTACCAGCATCATCATGCCTGCCATCAGTCTTGTTTGTTGAAACAATCAATTTTTTTCAATTTTCTGATGTCAGTCATGGTTTCTAAACCTCTGATATTGTTACTGGTCTCTTCTAGTCTACCCTTTTCTTGACATTCAGTGTCCAAAGCTGGATGCATTATTTCACCTGGAATGTTTCATGCCAGTGTGATATTTGCCTTTTTGCTACAGAATAAGCTTGACATATTCAGCTGTGATCTGCTATAACTCCTTGATCCTATTGTATAGAACCTGCTACAAAGCCAGATGTTTCCTATTGTGCAGTTGATTATTGCTTCCTTTGAACTTGTCATGATACTTATTGAATTGCATCCTATTATTTTTAGATTGTTTCTCATCATATTATCTAAATTCTCAAATGATCTTGCAGTCTCCACCAATTTGTTGTCATCTGCGAAGTTAATGTAGTAAGCGTGCACTCTCTTTTGTGATCTAAGACACCCCTCGTGAAACTATCAAGTAAAGCTGGGCCCAGACAAATGCCTAAAAAACTTGACTTGAAAAATCTTTTCTATTGACAGTGGGTCATTGAACCAGCTAATTTTGTATGCATTGTATTGGTTTTTTAGAATATTTGTGAAAATTTCATGTGAGGAACAGTGTGCAGTTGCAGGGATTTTTTTTTCCAGATGTGAACTCCATGAGAACAAGTGCAACAGAAGCTAATTCTGACTTTATTCCTCATTTACAGATACTTACTTTATTATGGTATAGTGGAAAGCAGGGGCAGAAGACTCAGTAATTGAGAGGAGAGTGATTTGTGAGAGCCGGTCTTAGAATTATGGAGGGGAGAACGTGGACATTTGGGCTGTTAATAGGCTGTGCTTTATAATATTGGATATTAGGAATCCTCAGTAATGTCTGTTTTGAGTATTTGTTACTTGTAGCCTGCCCCAAAACCTCTGAAATATATGGGACTCCCTTCTTTTTGACTTCTGACCACGTTTTTAGTTTCTCCTTTGAAAGTTTAAAGTTTGCCAGTACTTCTTGCTTGTCTTCTACAACAGTGAAGGAAGGGATCTGGCCTTTCTCCCCAAAGGAGGGCAGAGATGCGACAGTCAGGCAATGTGCAGAAATGTACGACTGAACTGCTTTTATTTTTCATTTTTTTCAAAAAGGGAACAGTGAAACTACAAGTAATACTAGCTAAAATAAAAGTCCTTCTCTGGTGTGATTTTCATCTTACTATTAGTGTGAATGGCTTTTTGGTTTTTTTCATAAAGCAGTTTGGAATATTTCTAATATAACTAATTGTGCTCTTTACTGAATTGCCATTTTTTTCTGCCCTTGTAGTTCAGTTAGCATCTGAATTTGGAACACATGGAATGCAGGAGAAATATTGTAATAAAGTATGTTTATTACAGAAGCTTAGAATTCCTTTAATTATTCCTCAAAAGATACAATGCCATTATTTGTTAATGCTCTATTTTATGATAATAATAATTTAGACTGATGCAAATTTTACCATGTTAGTATATTTTTACAATGTGTAACATTTAAAATACATGTTTTTGTTTAGGGTATTCTCTTGGTTTATGATATTACCAACGGCCAGAGCTTTGAAAATTTAGAAGACTGGTATAATGTGGTAAAAAAAGTGAATGAAGACTCAGAAACACAGCCACTTGTGGCCTTGGTTGGAAATAAAAGTAAGTTATTCATGCTTAAATATTAATTGAAATACTCTGGATGTTGCGCTCTATCAAAGAAATGGCACAGGGCATATATCTTTAGTAAAATGAAACTAAATACTGTCTTGTGTGTTGTTGCTGTGTACGGATGACATATTTGGGTGTACCTCAGTATTCTGGTTCTGGGCAGTTAGGTTGAGGGACTTGCTGCATCATGCTTTGCCTAGCCTGCAGCCTTTCTGCCTGTGTTTTCTTTATTTGGAGAGCAGCACACAGGAGTAGAGAGAGATCTCTCACCCATGTTTGAATTTGATAGGGCTTCAGGATATTGCCATGGCATGCATCTAGAATGGAGAACTGGGAGGCATTCTCTAATAACAGGTATATTTCATGGTTCTGTATGTCAAGAGACTGCTAAATTAAGTACTGGTATATATTACTTAAAATAACTACACTAGGCATAATAATTATGGTTTGCTTATTAGGCTTTTTTGTATGCTGTCTGTAGTTTTGCACATGAGGTTACTTGTTTCCTGTTGTTCTGGGATTTTTTTTAACCTGCCCTCTTTTTGATCATGTAAGTATGATATAATGGTTTTCTTCTGACCACCAAAATGTGCCACTTTAAATAACCATCACCTAGTTTCCTAATTGGATGGATGGATTCCAATTTCCAGCTAAGAAATCTTACAGAAACATCCTTATTAGCTCATCTGAGGTCTTGATCCTGCCTCTCTTACTCTTTTTCTATTGAAGATGATAAAAGCAACATAAAGCAATTTTAGAAACAATGTGGCGCGCACAGATACAGAAATTTTTAACAATGTAAATACATTTTTTTGAACAACAAAAAATAGCTTTGATTTTTTTTTACTTCCCAAGTAATTTTTGTCAGTGTCCATATCATGAACAAACTTGAAAAAAAGACCTCATCCAGCAAGTTAGTATTGTTTAAAAGCATTTGAAAACAATGTAGAGACAACACTTTCATTCAGAACCATTAACTGTAGTGTTGCTACTGTGATGCTGTAACATTTTATGATATTAATTATGAAAGACTACTTATTTTCTGGGAAGAAAACAGAGAAGCTCTTAAAGTTACAATATATAAATAGCACTTCTGAAAGTATAACATAGACAGTGTTGTACTCTAGCAGACCAGAGTCAATAATTCAGATTCTGTTGAAATTCAAATAAAAAATACTTTTCACTGATTTATATTTTGCCCCAAAATTGGACTTCCTAGTTGGAGTTCTTCAAATCTTATGAAGTATTTACAGTAAGATACACTGTAACATAGGATAAATAATGTTCTTTTACTGGAATGACACCATAGAGGTAGAAAATCAGGCATTGGTTTCCATTCGGAGGAGTTTTATTTCTGTTATATACCTTAAGTATATATACTGACTACATCAGTAAACAACACAAGACAAGGGAAGAGCTACGGATGTCGTCTATCTGGACCTCTGTAAGGCCTTTTACACGGTCCCCGACAACATCATTCTCTCTAAACTGGAGAGGTATGGATTTGATGGGTGGACTGTCCGGTGGGGGAGGAATTGGTTGGATGGTCGCATCCAGAGGGTAGTGGTCAACAGCTCAATGTCCAGATGGAGATCGGTGATGAGTGGTGTCCCTCAGGGATCCGTATTGGGACGGTACTGTTTAATATCTTCATCAATGACATAGACAGTGGGATTGAGTGCACCCTCAGCAAGTTTGCAGATGACACCAAGCTGAGTGGTGTGGTTGACATGCCTGAGGGACGGGATGCCATCCAGAGGGACCTGGGCAAGCTCAAGAAGTGGGCCCATAAGAACCTCATGAGGTTTAACAAGGCCGAGTACAAGGTCCTGCACCTGGGTCAGGGCAACCCCCGGTATCACTACAGGCTGGGGGATGAAGGGATTGAGAGCAGCCCCGCTGAGAAGGACTTGGGGGTACTGGTGGATGAAAAGCTGGACATGAGCCAGCAATGTGCACTTACAGCCCAGAAGGCCAGTCGTATCCTGGGCTGTATCAAAAGAAGCGTGGCCAGCAGGTCGAGGGAGGTGATTCTGCCCCTCTACTCTGCCCTGGTGAGACCCCACCTGGAGTACTGCGTCCAGCTCTGGAGCCCTCAGCATAAGAAAGAGCGGGTTCAGAAGAGGGCCATGAAATGGGGGATGGAACAGCTGTCCTCTGAAGAAAGGCTGAGAGAGTTGGGGTTGTTCAGCCTGGAGAGGAGAAGGCTTCAGGGAGACCTTACTGCAGCCTATCAGTACTTGAAGGGGGCTTATAAAAAAGGTGGCGGCAAACTTTTTAGCAGGGCCTGTTGCGACAGGACAAGGAGGAATGGCTTTAAACTAAAGGGGGGTAGATTTAGACTAGATACAAGGAAGCAACTTTTTACGCTGAGGGTGGTGAAACAGGTTGCTCAGAGAGGTGGTGGATGCCCCATCCCTGGAAACCTTCCAAGGTCAGGTCGGATGGGGCTCTGAGCAACCTGATTTAGTTGAAGATGTCCCTGCCCATGGCAGGGGTGTTGGACTAGATGACCTTTAAAGGTCCCTTCCAACTCAAACTGTTCTATGATTCTAAATTTTTCTCATATACATGCCTGCAATTCTTTAAAATCCAAGTATTTCCTTGGGAGCATCTGCAAACAGAATATGTTTTTGTAGGTGAGTTTCCAGATAAAGGCTGACACTGACTAGTGAAAGGGCTTTAATTTTATGAAAATAGCAGCTGAAGGAATAGTGTGCTTGATACCTTGTTTTCCTTCAGAAGCTATGTATAAAGAAAAAAGCAAACTATTGCTTTCACGTGATCCTAAGGATGTTTGTTGTTGTTGCACATGTTGAGCATACAGAGGATGCTGCTTACAGAGGTAATTTTTTTGCTTTATTTTTATTTCAGCATTATAAAAATTAAGCTTTTAGAAGTGTATTGCTTTTCTGAATTCTATAACAGGAGAAGAATATCTAGGAGGGCTTCCACCCCAACACTTTAATGGCCTGTGAGAGGTAACTGTAGTCAGGCTCCTATTGTTACATAAATAGAAAACAAGGTAAGTTGTTTATATAGAAGCATGGTGTTGACTTTTACGTATTATGAAAGGATAAAGCTACCAGTATTAACAAGTTCTTCAGGTGGAATAACTGTGTTCAGAATAGCTTAACTTCCCTACTCAGTAAGTGATAAGACACTCTTACACAATGCAAGAGCAATAATAGGTTTAAAGCAAAGAAAAGCCATTTGATGAATTGATGATCTTATTTGACCTCATGCATCATACAGGAGAAATACTTTCAGTCAGTAGTTTCTGTCTCAGGATTGTACTTGGTTTTTGAGCTATACACGTCTTTTAGGAAAATATCCAGGTATGCTTACTTAAAGATCAGAAATGTCTATATCCACAGGCAAGTTATTCTAACACTTAACTTTCTTTCTGATAAAAGTGTTAAAAAATTGCCAAGAATGCAGTTATTGTCATTCATAGCTATTAGAAAGCATTGGGCCAGTATTTAGATAACCTGATAAGAATTTGGAAGCCCAGCTGACACCATGCATTTTGAAACCTTGGCTTAAATTTAGTGCTGCTCTTTTAAGTATACTTAGCTTGGGCTTAGGCTCTCATTTGACCATTTTCACTTACTAATACTGTCTGAAAGAAATGTCTGTTTTTCCATTTTGGGGTAAATACACCTGGGATCTCTGCTGTAGTGCTTCAGAAATAGGAATAAAGCCATAGTTTAAAAAAAAACTTGGAAGAAAACAATGAAAAATATTTTTCTTCACAATGAAATATAGAAAACTGTACACAAATTCTATTAGATGAAAATAATTTCCTTGGGTAATTTTGTCATTGAAAGCAAATTACTTCAGGTATAGCAGTATATGGTGCATAACTGTGTAGTAGCTGTTAAATTGTCTATAAAACTGCCTGATTTATGGGTGTTTTGTTGTATCAATTTATAGTCATTCTGTTAAATGTGTTAAGTTTGCAGGAATTTTTTCAGTATTCCAGCGATTGTAATTTCTACATACAAAGCTCTAATCAGTCTCCAGTCTCTCATCCATCAGAAATTCATTTGAAAATAATAGAGTAGTATGAATTGAGATCTCCTAAATTCTGGACCTCCCCACCCCTCTTTTTTCTTTTTTTTTTTCCTCTTTTTTTTCCTTTTTTTTCAGGACTAGCTAAAATGAAGGACTGTCTTTGCAGGACTGGCTAAAATGAAGGACTGTCTTTGCCCACTAATTTATTAAAAATAATTGGGAGAACAAGAGCTTTAGGGATGCAGTCCTCCTTTGTGAAAGTGGTGATTTATTTAAGATGACTGTCTTCTTCCTGGGTGCTTAGTTTTATTTTTCATTCTTTCTTCCTTCCCATACATCTTTTTTCCATAGCCTGACCTACACATTTGGTCAGAGAGAGTAGAAAACTGATTTAAGTCAAGATCTTGCCCACACCTGCTTCCTGCACTTATGTCTGATTATCAGTTAATTCTCTGTCTTTCCATAGATTTTTGTCTGTGCGTTTGGTAAACAACAAAAAGAATTGTAAAATTTAATGTAGAATTTTTCTTTTTCATATTAATTGTAAGGCATAAGATTTTAATAATCCTAAAATTTACAGTTGGCGTTGAATCTTAAATTTGACTTTCCTTGTAACTTACTTTGCAGTATTTTAATCTTATTTAATACAAAGTATATCTGAAGTATGCTTATTTCCGTGTTGTTAATACCAGTTAATTTGCACCAGAAATAAGGGAGTAAACCTTGTTGTTAACATTAACAAATGCTTTTCAGTGTCAATGCAGTAACTTAAAACTTTTATAGATATGTTTCTGTCAAATACTTTGACTTATATTGTATAGTATAAATTAAACTATAGTTATCAAGTGAATGAATTGTTTTGTGCACTTAGGATCTTTGCTTAAATTTGGTATTGACAAAGTTCAGTAATCACAATGGATCTTCTAGTTGTTAGTGTGAATTAGAGAGGTTTTACTGTGTTCCGTGTGACCAAT